CCATCTAAGAAGGAATTGGACCACTCTTCTAAACTTGGTTCTTTTCTGGAGATGACACCTGAGGAGAATGAGGAGTTAGTAGATAGACTTACGTCGAATGCTAAATATTGGTACGAAGACCGAGCTCCTCCTCCTAAAGCTGGCATGTATGAAGTAGACCAATTCACAGCTCTCAAGGCTAGTATGGAGAGCATTGTGAAACAAACTATCAAGGAACACCTATGAGCTTCCCATCCACGTCCCAATCAGTACACTGAACCGGTGAACCAAGCTGAACTCTATGGTTCTGGTAGTCACCACCAATCTGATCTTGTCTTGTCTTGTGAACACTGCTTTCAAAATCATCTTTCTTCTGCTTGTCCCTTGATTGAACCACCCCCTCCGAGCAGGGCTAAGGAGGTCAATATAGCGCAATACGCGAATAAAGGGGAAGGACCTTGGGCCCAGAACAATCAGGAGCCTTGGCGGGAGAGAAATAGTTTTCCAAGAAACAATCGTCCCAGGGATGACTATAAACAAGGTAACTGGAATAACAATAAAACCAATTACCAAAATACCAATACACCCTACGTCCCACCTCATAACCGCCAACCTCCGCAAGAAGACTCCTTGGCAAGGATGGAGAAGATGATGATGGAGTACATGCAGAAGATGAACAATCTAGCAGATGATATGAAGGAACGTGACAAGACACGGGATAGTCAACTCCAACAAGTGTTTAAACAACTTGGAGTTAGAGAACAGGGGAACCTCCCAGCTACCACTGAACCAAACCCACGGGAGCAACTTCAGGCAATAACTTTGAGAAGTGGTAAAGAGCTTCAAGGCCCAGAAGTCAAAGTCAATATAGATGAAGTACCCGTGGGTACCTCTAAAGGAACAACCCCGCAAAAGAAAACTGAATCCACGCCCCAAGGGGCGGGAAAGGAAGAAACCTCTTCTAGCCAGACCCTACCAACCAAGCAAGCTCAGCTAAACACTATCCCTTTTCCTACTAGGGTGAAAAAGAACAAAGATGAAAAGGCTTTCCAGAAGTTTCTCGATGTCATTGGCCAAGTTGAGGTCAAAATACCTTTGGTAGATGTGTTAACTGAAATGCCCAAATATGGTAAGTTCTTAAAGGACCTCGTAAGAGGGACTGGGAGGAATTCCCAGTTGTCAGCTTAAATGCTGAATGCTCTGCTATGTTACTTGAGGAAATGCCTAGAAAACGAAAGGATCCTGGATGTTTCATCATCCCTTGTTCCATCAACGATAGAACCTTTGGAGACGCTTTAGCTGACCTAGGAGCTAGCATTAATTTAATGTCGTCCTCTATCATGAAAGCACTGGGATTGACTGGACTTAAACCCACTCAAATGTGTCTTCAATTGGCAGATAGCTCTATTCGTTACCCCAGGGGGGTGATTGAAGACGTGCTTGTGAAGGTAAATAAGTTCATCTTCCCTGCTGATTTTGTGGTGTTGGATATGGAAGAAGATAAGGAAAAGCCACTATTACTAGGGCGACCATTCCTTGCGATCGCAAAGGCATTAATTAATGTGCACGATGGGGAATTAACTCTAAGAGTAGGCAATGAAGATGTTACTTTTAAAACGATGAGCGTCATGAATCGAACTCCAGACCCAGCTGAGTTCTGCAACTCAGTAAAAGTCATAAAAGATAAAGGGTCTGTAGAAGATCTCCTAAGCCTAGAAATTGCTTTTCAAGAACCTAAGTGTGAGGAGGTGTGCGATATCAAGACGCGATCTGAACCCACAAACGAAGCCACATCCTTAGAACTTAAACCCTTACCATCACACCTCGAATATGCCTTCCTCGATAGTGAGGGACAGTGCCCTGTTGTCATAGCCTCTGATCTAACACCTGATCAGAAGGAAAAATTACTAGCTGTCCTCCGTATGCACAAGCAGGCAATTGCCTGGAAACTAGAGGATATTCAAGGAATAAGCCCCGCTTATTGCACACATAAAATATCCATTGAGGACGGATTTAAACCAGTTGTGCAGGCTCAACGCAGGTTGAATCCAAAATTAATGGAAGTAGTGCAGAAAGATGTGCTTAGACTCTTGGATGCTGGAATAATTTATCCTATTTCAGATAGCCAAAGGGTGTCACCAATCCACGTCGTTCCCAAAAAGGGAGGGATGACAGTAACCAAAAATGAGAAGGGAGAGTTAGTTCCAGGAAGAACGGTAACTGGATGGCGAATGGTCATAGACTATAGAAAGTTAAATGATGCCACACGCAAGGATCATTTTCCCCTTCCTTTTATCGACCAACTCATTAAGAAATTAGCTGGCCATGCGTACTATTGCTTCTTGGATGGGATGAGTAGTTACTTCCAAATCCATGCAAACCTTGAAGACCAGGAGAAGACCACTTTCACTTGCCCGTTCGGAACCTTTGCATTCCGTCGAATGTCATTCGGACTCTGTAATGCTCCTGCCACCTTCATGAGGTGTATGATAGCTATTTTCGAAAAGTTTATAGGGGATTTTATGGAAGTCTTTATGGATGATTTCTCTATCACAGGGAAATCATTTGACGAATGCCTAGGTAATCTGGAAAAAGTCCTCATAAGATGCGAGGAAACTCACCTAGCTCTTAGTTGGGAAAAATGCCAATTCTTAGTCAAAGAATGGATAGTCTTAGGTCACAAGGTATCGAGCCGAGGGGTAGAGGTAGATCGTGCTAAGATCGAGACTATAGAGAAGTTACCACCACCAAATTCCGTAAAGGCCATCCGAAGTTTTCTAGGGCATGCAGGATTCTATAGAAGATTTATCAAAGACTTTGCTAAAATAGCAAAACCCCTAACTGCCCTATTAGAAAAAGGTATAGAGTTTGTCTTCACGGATGAATGTTTACAAGCGTTCAATACCTTGAAGGAAAAACTAATCTCAGCCCCAGTTCTTATTGCCCCGGACTGGGCACTACCATTTGAACTAATGTGTGACGCTAGCGACCTAGTAGTAGGAGCAATCCTTGGACAAAGGAAGGAAAAGGTCTTTCACCCAATTTACTACGCTAGTAAAACCTTATCAGGAGCGCAGCTCAACTACACAACCACTGAGAAAGAATTCCTAGCAATTGTATACGCTTTGGAAAAATTCAGGCCTTACGTCATTCTTTCTCCAGTTGTCGTTTACACCGACCATGCGGCGTTGCGATACCTGTTGCAAAAGAATGATGCAAAGCCTCGGTTATTACGTTGGGTTTTGTTGTTGCAGGAATTCGATTTACAAATCAAGGATAGAAAAGGATCGGCAAATCAAGCTGCAGATCATCTATCCCGACTAGATGTGGAAGTAGCCGAGCAATTTGGCAATTGTATCGTAAATGAGTCCTTTCCCTTTGAGAGGATCTATGTTATACAAGAAAAGGAGCCTTGGTATGCAGATATTGCCAATTTTCTGGCAGGGAAGATCGAGCCTACCTTGTTGACACCGCACCTAAGCAAGAAGCTTAAGCGAGAAGCCCACTTCTATTTTTGGGACGACCCCTACCTTTTCCGGATTTGTGCGGACCAAGTAGTTCGGCGATGCGTGACTGAAGCAGAAGGAAGGGAAATTTTAGCAGCCTGCCATAGTGGCCCGGTTGGCGGACACTTCTCAGGAGCAAGGACAGCAAGAAAAGTATTGGACTCAGGGTTCTTCTGGCCAACGCTTTTTAAGGATGCCAATCAGTTTGCTGCTTCTTGCGATCGCTGTCAAAGAACGGGCAATATATCCAAGAGAGATGAGATGCCACAACATTACATGCTACCATGTGAAGTGTTCGATGTATGGGGTATCGACTTTGTGGGGCCATTCCCAAGTTCTTATGGTAATAAATACATCCTCGTTGCCATCGATTACGTCTCCAAATGGGTTGAAGCCCAAGCTTGCAAAAGAGACGATGGCCGCACTGTAGTTCGCTTCTTGAAGAAACTGTTTTCAAGATTCGGAGTTCCGAGATTGATAATAAGTGACAGGGGTACCCACTTCCGAAATGATCCACTGTATTTCGCACGACGTATAAAGCACCAATTGGTACAACTCCCTTTCACTTGGTGTACGGAAAGTCTTGTCACCTTCCAGTTCAAATTGAGCATAAGGCATTATGGGCATTATGAAATGTTTGCCTTGATTCTTCTGAAGCCGGACGAGAAAGATTTTACCAGCTAGATGAGCTAGACGAATGGCGAGCATTAGCATTCCACAATGCTAAGCTATACAAGGAGAGGATGAAGTTTTATCATGACGCTCATATTAAGCAGAATAGGGTCTTTCGCGAAGGTGAAAAAGTGTTGCTTTATAATTCTCGTTTGAGATTGTTCCCAGGGAAGCTTCGCTCCCGATGGACAGGGCCTTACACAATCACCAGAGTTTTCCCTTATGGAACCGTGGAGTTGAGAGGGGAATCTGGAACGTTCAAGGTCAACGGTCAACAGATCAAGAGGTATTTCGGTGAGCAGTTTCAAAAAGGGAAAGTGGAGGTTAAACTCCACAAGTGAAGCAATCGCGTCAAGCTAGTGACGTTAAAGAAGCGCTGAACGGGAGGCAACCCGTTATTTCTACCTTATTTAGTTATTATTTTCTGTTGTTCCTTTCTTTTGAATAAATGAATGGAGACTTGTCGCACCTACGTGGGGGCAAGATTTTATATGTGTGTTTCATGTGCAGATGCCTCACAGACCAGCATACCCGACTGCTACGCGTGCCGATGTTCACCTGGTGGGTTCTGGACCCATCCAGCGCTTTGAGATGTGGGGTCGTCACCGCTCATTGACGGAATCTGTGTACTTATCCTCGGCAGCTCTCGCCGATTACGGATACGCTGAAGAGATGGAGCAGCTGTTACAAGGGACTAGGTGGCATCGCCTCTTCATGATGCGGAGCGAGTCTAGCCTGCCACTGACGATCGAGTTCCTGTGCTCTCTAGAGTTGGAGCCATCTACAGGATCGAGGTCGATGAACTTCCAGTCCATCGACTCTCGTACAACCCTCACTTTCACTCTCTTGCGGCGAGGATTTTAGCTGACGGTCGCCGATCTGGCTACACACTTGGGTCTCTACAGTTCGGAGGAGACATCGACGCCAGAATTCGAGGCCGCACCGTACCTTCTCCCTGCAGACATTGATCCCGCTGACTTTTGGGCAGAACATTCTTCAGATCCAGACCGCTTTGAGGGCATGGGCCGAGCCAGGTTTTGGATTCAGCCGACTTGGCGAATCCTATCTTTTGTGCTTTCGTCATCTTTCTTTGGGAGGCCGTTGAACACAGATCGGGTATACCCCGATGATTTGATTGTCTTCTGGAGCCTGCACACACGCCAGGAGGTGAATGTGGCTGTCTTTGTGGCCCGATTTCTCTACAGTCAGTCCATGGGGAATCGGACGCACATTGTCTGTGGTTTCGTAGTCACCATACTCTTCCGATCACTCGAGGGATCGGCACCCATTCCACGAGCTCAGATGATGATGCGAGATTTGGATGCCGGCATGCTGAGGAATGCCCACATTCGTAGGAGGTTGGGAGCTGGCTCTACCGAGAGCAACGCCGCCTCCTCATCTGCGCCCTCGACATCAGGAGCATCTTCGCAGGTCTCGTCTAGGAGGGCCACTCACCGCCGACCCACTCCTCAGGCCACCCCAGCTACGACCCAGGCTGATCCGACCCCTGAATGGGCTAGGAGGATCCTGGAGCAGCAGGATACCATCCTGCAGAGGATGTCCGAAATCGGACAGCAGCAGGCATCCCAGGCTGAGAACTTTGCTCAGCTTCGAAGGACCTTTACTAGCTTTTACTCGGATGTGCACATCGGGCTCACCCCTCGTTCTCCTGAGGGCAACGATCCATCCACCTCAGTTCCTCCTCCTTCGTGATCTTCATATTATTTTCTTTTGAAAACTTTTATTTCTTTTCGTTATGAGCAGGAATTGATGATCAACTGGATTTGTTGGAACTTCTTATTTTCCGCCGGTAACATTTA